CAAATACTATTTTTACTAAGCAGTTAAAAAGTTTGAAGTTAAAAAAAAAAATACAATTATTTGAAAATACATAATAATATATTTTATTTATTATTATTATTATTTTACCACATGGTTGAAAATATTGAACTTAATTTTTGACGTCTTCGTTTATTTATTCATTACTTCTTATTGAAAGTTGTGTGTAGTTTGTGTCTTTTTGATTAGTGATTACGAATTTTCCATTCAAATAGGTGTGGACTTTAATGGGTTTAGACTATGGTAAAAAATATAGACAACTAATTTAAAATTATTAGGTGAATTTGAACTCATTAAAGATTAAACATGTGGTAGGTGGTAGGTCCACATTTCTAAATGTACAGGATAGCATACATCTAATAAGTACTTTATTGTAAATTAATTTGTAATTGTTTATAGTAATTTATTATAATATTACATTTTGTAGATTAATATAAAAACATATTGTTTTTATATTATTTTTATATGAATTTAATATTTATAAATATATTATTTTATAATTATGTTATATTTTTCCACTTAAATATTATCCAAGTTTTCTTTTTACTAAAATAACATGGCACCAGTTGATAATTTTCTACCTTAAAAAATATCCATTTATCTATATACATTTTGTGTTATGTGGACATTTTATACTAACATTCATAAAAATTTGGACTGTAATTAAATTCTACAATGACAAAATGACTGTACATTATTCATCAAAACACTACAACCATAAGTAATGACTAAATATTTTACATTTGTCATTTGTTTCAGTTAAATGATCTCAAACTGCACGTACTGCACTACTGTGTAATTAAAAATAAAAAAATTTTCATTTATAATAAATACAACAAACTGAGAGCTATAATGGCATTGCAATATGAATTATTAATGTTCTAATATTCTACTGTTAAAATAGGTTTAAATGAACGAGGATTTAACAATGTTTGGAAGTAATAATAATCATTAGGACGACATTGTCGACATTTGTGATACAGTTGTATACAATTATAATAATAAATCATGTTATGGTAATATATTAATTATAAATCCTGTTAAAATATACAACATTTTGAAAACATTATTTTTGAAAATATAACTGATAAGTGTAAATTGAAAATAGTTAAATATTTTTTCATATGTGTGTTGTAAGTTGTAATTTAATAATACTATGTTTTATAAACACGGTTTTAAAATTAATAATTTACCTACGTGGTTGATAATATGTAGGTTTTCGATAATTTTGGGAAGTCAACAGAAAATAACAACAAAACGCTTTACTTTTTCTTTTTCATAAATATTTCTACATTACAGCGTTATTACGCGTTGGGCGTCTTAAAAAACTATTTTTGGTAATGTGTGACTAAGAGCCTAAAAAAAAGTTGTCAGTGTTTCTTATTCAGCTTGAGAAGAAATTTAATTTGACTTCACGGATAGTTGACCTAGCGCATACCTAGCATGGAGAAAAAATAGCGAAAGCCATAGAACCGACCGAGGGAAACAGAAAAAAGTCAAATATCAACAGGACTTGTATAATAATATATGTGTGTGTGTGTGTGTGTGTGTGCTCACTGCGCATGCCTTTTAATGGGCCAATGTTTTTCTTGAGGACGGTAAACACACAGCAACGGCAGCATGTACGAATAGAATGTGGAAGGAGCTATTTTTCCTGCGCTCGTGTAATACCTACTCGTCGCCTGGACCGGGGGGGCGGGGGGGGCGGGCGTGAATTTATGTGCACTGGTGAATGTATTGTGTGAACTGGCTATTAATCTATGTCGAGTCGGTAGAAACGGCGACCGCCGAAGGGATTCCGTGGTCCTCGTCGTGTATACCTATCCCGAGTTCAGCAGCCGGCTAGCCAACCGACCCTCCCCCCCCCCTCTCAACCGTCGACACGCTCACCTCGTTGATTTTACTGACTTGACGTTTTCGATTGTCGACGAGAAGTTCCTACCCCCCCCCCCCCCCCCCCCCCCCCCCCCNAGCACGGGTACGCACTCGCCTTTGCAGAGCACAATGCACGTTCGTCTCATACCGACTCACACACGACCTCCCCGCGTTGGCGACATAGACACTAGGCATAGTATTATGGCGCATGTCCCATCTCGCACTGTACATCACAAATCCCCGATGTGCACTGCCAGCGCACTACATATCATCACGTTCCATATGAACATCGGCTATGAATCACGGGCAATGTGTGTGTGTGTGTGTGTGTGTGTGTGTGTGTGTGTGTGTGTGTGTGTGTGTGTGTGTGTTTGTGTGCGCCGGCAACGCCCACGTGACAGACTGACTGTCTGATAAGGAAATCGCAGCATAGGCGAACGACTGAGCGCTCACACACACACACACACACTACATAATACTCTTCCTTTTCCGCGGGCCAGTATTCTCATACTCGACTATACCGTAAACGACCCTACCTCCAGTAACTCCGTTCGGAGTGCATCGACCTCAGATTTCCCGGTAAACATTGTCTCCGACGCACGCGAGTACATAAAATACGAATCGATCAGTTCGCGTGTGTGTCGTATACCTGCATAAAAGTATACATTTGTAGTGCGAGTACGTGTATTCTAGCGTGGCTGCCCGCTTAAGCGCATAAAGTGTACGTTGGAACTCTCGCAGTAATACACGTCTCCACACCCCCCCCCCCCCAGTCACCGAAATCCGTGTCTACTTCGACGGACTGTGGCGCGATGGTCACGGAGTAGCTGATCTACGACAAGGGTCGCGGTACTCATCTAAAGTGAGCGCCGAGCGGACACGGTGTGCAGCGCGTACGCGAGGCGGCGTACACAAGAAACAGAAGGATGTTTTTTTCTGCAAAAAAATGTAGTCGATGATAATAATAAAATAATCATATTTCATTTTCCGGAAAATGGATTGTTTTACTTCCGATAGCGATGATTATGCGAACTACCGAGGTTTTGGTTTATGCGAGTATGCGTTAATAAACTGCTAACCACAAGCCACGGATGTTTACAGTAGGTATTCCAGACTCTAGAACCCTGCAAGTTTTGAAACGGACCACCAACAAAACTAATTAGAAGCAACAGTTTCTTCAAAGACGGGAACATGGATTGTGATCGTATTAGCGTCCACCGGTATAGAAGTAAAATATTCCGTATGAATAATGTTGGATCTGTATTGGGTAAAAAAATAATAATGAATAATTGATTATTAAAACAAATTGATTTCATACGAAATCATTTTTATCATATTGAACACTATTATAGGTTGTTCAGGTCTGACGAGGAAATACCGGGAATAGGGCCAAAATAGTGTTATATCTGTATAATTTTGGCCCAATTCCCGTGGCCCATCCTATATTATATAATTATATCTAATTTGTATCCTCATAATATGCTCACCATTAGAAATCTACATATTATTATGGTTTTTGTAATTGTGACGTTTAAAAAACGTAGTTATCAGTAATATCACTCCTAGGGTGTTATGGTCATTTTAACATAAATTGTATACAATTTTATATTTTCGTAGTCATCAAATTATATAAGATAATGTTTATTATGTTTCAATGTTTGATCTACTCATAAAACATCAAATGTTTGTGAAATATACCGAACTTTGTGGTTAATTAATTTAAATTTGAATGTTACAATTTTTACAACACTTTGCAGAGTTTCAATATATTTTACATAACTTAATGATGAAATATATTTTAAACGACACACACTGTGACTGGACTTACCTATATTATATATAAGAATCGATTAATGAGCTATTTTAATGCAAATCCTAATACTTACCCAATACTCTAATAGCTGCAATTAGGGTAATTAAAATCATAAATGTGCGAATTTGGTATTGGGCAAAAAGTTTTCTCACCTTAAATTATATCTCATGCTATAAGCACATAAAGCATATTTTTTAATTTCCATTGTTTTTAAACCACTCCGGATAAGTCATAATTATTCACAAGAAAAAATCAGCACCATTGCTTTATAGGTATTTACAATGTTATTTTTTTTCACAATTTAATATTAGTATATTTTATGAAAAAAATAAATTTAAGACCTTACAGAAGCAGTCAATTATAATTAATTGAATCAAACATTATGAAAAAATCGTCAAAAATAAGTCACACTCTAATGTTTATTATACAATTATTGGTATAGAATAAACACGAATATTGAAGTGATTATTATTTCTGTTTTAATTCATTTTATTGTGAAAGTTTACGTTAATTTTTTTTATCTTTAAAACTTTCGTGTACTTATGTATTGTTTCAGTATGGATATTATATGTTTTGTTAATCACTCTCTTAATACAAGTTATGAAAATGTAAATACTATATTTTTTTAAGTTAACTAATTATATATTATACTATTAAATTTAATTAAACATTTATTGACGCAATATACATATATTATTGTATTGTGTTGTTAATTAGTTATATATTGTTATGTTGGATCAATACAATTGATATATTTGCAGTATTTATATTTTTGGATGGTCATAAAGCGTATAATATTTCTTAAATACTTAATAAATATCTTTACAGTTACCAATAACCTATATTAGAGTAATGACAACATAACAATTTGCTGCATTTATCTTGGATATAATTATAAATATAATAGGCATGTGTGTTGTAGACAATAGACTAATTGGTATAATACTCCAAGAAAATTTTCCAAACTTTGCCTCATATATAAATCTAAATAAAAGTGACTATAGATTTTATGAGTATTGAGTAGAACACCTCAAGTGAGACATATGAATTATGAATACTTGCATAAATCCTATTTTATAAATGTATCGTCAGCAATGCAGCCTATAATTTATAGATAAAAAAATATATACAAATATTCCAAAAAGTATAATCGTACAACATTTTGAAAGAATATCGAATGTTATATTATTTTAAGCTGCACGCCCGATATTCCATAGTTGATAAATGGATTCGGCACACCATATAATAATTTTAAATATTTAAACAATTTAATTTTCATAATTCTACATATTGTTAAATGTTTTTTCTCTCTCCGTGAGTTTAGTAATAGGCGTTTATGTGATTCAACCGCCTGCATACATGACTCTTAATTTTCACAAAAAAATTTACTTTTCCCTATATTATGGTTAAATGGTATAGTTTTGGTACAGCGAAAGAAAAATCATAACAAAATACGATATTGTTCTAGATTTTTAAATTAATATCAATTATTTGCACTCCCCCTCTCGGACAACGCTCTTGAATTTCGTAGTCGGAAACAATGTTTACACGTGACCAAGTCCAGACGTAGTTCAAACGACTCAGAGTACCTCCGTGATCGGCCACGACAAGTACACCGACTTCTCAACTCAAGTGTTGATCCTTAATTTTTAAAAATATAGTGTCTATATTTTGTCAAAGCAACCACACAACCTCTGTTCGTACATTACGGTGAAACGGTTCAAGTGTATTTTCAAAAAAAAATTATCCACTGACAGCTGTACAAGTACTCCCGATTCGAGATCTATATAACAACAACGACAACAACGACGACGACAAATGGACGTCCGATCTGGAGGCACGACGGCCGCGACCATTTCGCTGGTGTTCGGGCTGATGGCCGGTTGCGGTGCAATCGTACTTCCGGCCGATCGTCCGACCGGAACCGGCGCTCGGGCCGACCACCGGACACCCAGGGACATGCGCGAGCCGAAAATCGACGGCCAGGGGCTCGACCTGCTCGGGCTCAAGACCACCGGCCAAAAGTGGTCGTCGGACGAGTACCAGACGCTGTCTTCGCTGCAGCAGACTTCCGACGACGGCGGCGGCGGCGGCGGTTCGGCGCCGGTCACCGCCAAGGTGGACGTCTATCCGGCGCTGACGACGGACTCGCCGCCGCCGTTCGTGGCTCGCAGCCGGTACGTCAGCAGTCACCTACACCCGCCCTACCTGCACCACCTGTACGGCGGCGACACGGACGTCCGACAAGAAACCGCAGATCCGGAAGACCAGCGTCCGGAGTACTCGGTGATGCCGAAATGGAACAGGTGCGCACGCGATTAATTCGAGGCTAAGATATTATACTTCGCCCTTTTGTTAGATAATATCATCCCCTTTCCATCCCCTATCCGGTCGTATAGTAACCGTTATAATATTGAACCACGCATACAACGGGGGAAATACGTTTGGGTGCATTTACCCAAGACGGAATACTCTAGGGCGTAAATCCATACAACGTTTGGGCGTAATATTTCCCTTCACAATAGTAAGTTTGGGCGCATTTATTTCTTCGCATATATTTACATATTGCACTTAATCTGAGCGCCTATTAGCGTTATCCAGAAAACACAGAGAGGAGGTTGGCTCAATAGTCTACTAAAAATATTTAGCTACATACTTCTTTTTAAAACGTCCTGATTTAATTTTTGTTAATTTTAATTTATTATTTATTATTTATTATTTTTCTATATTATAATGATACTTTATTTTTATTTTTTGTGATTAATTAATATTTTTTGTAGCAAAACATGGTCTTAATTTTTCATATAATTCAATATATTTTTTTAAACTTCATAATTTTCGCAACATTTTTTACAAACTTCTGTTTTTCTTCAATTTTTTTTTTTAAATTTATTAGTATTTTCCTTTAATAAATTAAGATAATGTGATCTACAGCAAGGTAAGCAGTGAAGTATACTTATTAGATTAGATTAGATTAGATTACACAAGACATTCGATAGTTACAGTATTGTGCCCAATAGTGTTTTCTTAAATAGGCCAAACATGTTAACAATTTTCAAGTAAATTTTTTATACTGAGCCCAAACGGGACATCCTCATAGAACAACCTCGGTACGAGTGTACGACTGTTTGGAGCTACATCGTAACAGGTATGTTCATTCGTTCATTTGTTATTTACCTACAAAAATTATATTCTATTATTACATGTTTAACCGATATTAATTTTTAAACGAATTTTAACTCATCAACATGTACTTTTTGATGTGATGGCCAGTTTTTTTTTTAAATAAATGAATAATTACACTTTTAGAAATGAAAATAGAATGTTACCATTCCAATTGTATACATAAATAGATGTTGAAACAAAATAAAATTTCAAAAAAATTGAAAATCAAGGTAATAACCTTAAATCTTTTAACAGAATTAATTAATTATATTTTTAAATTGTTTCTGATGCCGTATCACACAGTCCTGGTCAACCGTTGTATATGGGTACAATTAAAATATTGGTGTACTCTTGTTTTTTTTATAGTCATAACTTATTATTTATGAGAGGTGCCTATGATATTTACAATGATATAATAACGTAATAGTAATATATGATGTTGTTGAGTTAAGCGTAAAATAACGTCTGTTTAATTAACGGGTTATGTATATATTATAGTGTTTGAAAACTTGTGTTGTAATGACGCTGGTGAGAATATTGTTTTAACAACAAAATAATTAATTATCAAAACAGAACGATATAATATTATATATAATAGTGTTTATATGGAGATCCCTATTCGTCAAAGTACATTCAATTAATTCATGTTAAGTTGGAACATATTATTATGATGCTGTATTCAAAATCCAAACAAGTATCACAATCATACACTAATACACTGATAAGTGATAAATAATAAGAGCCCGAATATATTATTTAGACTGTTCCATATATTTTATAATATCGTAGTAAATAATTACTGTCACAAAGGAGTCGATAATTTTCGATGTAACGACGCAATATTGGTCGTTTATCGATTAATAAAATGAATAATTTTTCAACCGACAAAATAATAATATAATATGTATTTTATTATGTACAATAAAAAAATAATAATAATTCACAATTTATTAAGGTTAATTAAAAAAAAAAGCTAAGAATTGTTTAGACTAACCAAAATGAGTTATAAATTATAATGCGTTAAATCGAATTTAATAACAATTCTTGATAATTAAACACAGGTACAACTAAAATATAATAATGATTCACATTATTAACGTTCATTTTAGAAAAAAAACTTATAATTATTAAGACTAATGAGAATAAGTTATAATGCGTTGAATTGAACAATTGTGTAATTAAAAATCATGACATCAAGAATAATGATTTTACTAAATAAGGAAACATAACATACGGCCATGTAGGTATGAAGAAAACCCTTGGTTTCAGTTAATTTAATAATTTGTTATACAATAAGGTTGACAGAATTATTTAATAAATGTTTTTGTACGTACCTTAACTGTTTATAAATACGCGTCTAAGCCCTATGTAAGCGCAACAATTATAAGTAATTTTCTTTGGTTGTTTTATTTTCACAAAATATGAATATAATATTATTTATATTGTATAATATTATGTTGGAATACTCACATGGAGATCTACTAATACGTTAACCAGAAAAAAAATTGTTGTGGCTTGCTTAGTGAAAAGAAATTAACGAAACTGAAACATGAAGTATTTTATGTATTTTACATTGTATATTTATTCTACACACTTATTCTCAGAGTACATTTTAGAGACTTAGAAATAATATGACTTCCCCATCTGTGACTTCCCGGGTAAAGGTGATACTGAGATATTTTATTTTTAGCGTTCCATGCAATATCGTACATATCGTACGCAATAATCAATGTGCCTAATCGAAACTTTAATTATGTTTTCCTTTGACAAACTAAAAAACTGCATACAAATTATACTATACACGACGAATTGTAAACTAACATATTATCTAAAACGTTAAAATTTCGAAAAAAACTTTTGTTATCTATTGAACGGCAGAGAAATTAGATTAGACTATTGCCATAGCGTGCACCTGTAGCGTTACGTACCTTTTAAAGGGTTATTAGTTAAGACGGACGGCTTTTGAACACCGTCAGAGGTAAGGGGCCCGGTTTTCCTGCCCTCCCCCACCTCCCACTTCAACCCCTACCGACCAGTTCTCCACACTAACCTGCATGGAGTTTGATCGGCTGTCGCGTTTCACAGGTACCACCCCAGTCACAGGCAACTGAAAAAATACGGACCAGTGATCATGGAGACGGACGTGGCAGCGGACGGCAGCAGCAGCGTGGCCGGTGGGTACAACGTTTACGACAACAGCGTGGACTACGGTACGGCGAGTGTCAACTACGAACCGGAACCCTTCAAAAACGCCAACGCCGGCAGCGGCGCCGGTGACGGGTACGCCGGTTGGTACGGCGACCCGCCGACGCAGTCCTCGCGGCCGGCCACCGTGGTGGCCGAGGTCCGGCAGCCCGGCCACAAGATGTCCATCGACGTGCACAAGTTGACGCTGCTGGCCATGGTAAAAATCGCTTTGGCCAAGCTCAAAGTGCTCACGGTCATCAAGTTCCTGGCCTTCCTGTGGGTCAAGTTGAAGCTGCTGGTGGTGCTTAAGGGGTTCCTGTTCGCCAAGTTCGCCATAATGGGCAAACTGCTGAGGCTGTTCCTGCTGCCCTTCCTGCCCAACCTGCTGACGTGGCTCAGGAACGCGGCCATGATGCAGCTGAACCCCACGATGACCCCGCCGGCCATGAGCGAAATGGCGAGCACCGCGATCCAGTTGCGTAACGACAGTGTCGCCGATCCAGCGCTCAGGAGGAGCACAGCCGGCCTGGACACGCTGGGGGCGGCCGGCAATTTGTTGCAGTTCGTGGCCTTCGTGCAATCGGCCAAGTGCGCGGAGAGGACGGCCTGTCGAGTGTCCGGCACCAGACCGCCGAGTCTACAATCCACGATGGCGAACTGGTAATATAAACGTCAACACAATTGTCCATAGGTACCGATCGTAAAATGTGACGTAATCGCGTTCCGACGTTGCGAGACAACGTTTTCATGAAAGAAATCGTCGATGACTTTGTTGGGTTTCCGTTTACACTTTGAATTGCATAAACGACAAACCCGATGTTCGGGGCATATTTGGAGAGAACGAAATGTTTACATGGATCTATTCAATAAGACAATAGATAAGTCCACAATATCTATCCCCAATTCAAAATCATATACTGTTTCCGTGACTTATACGCAAGTTTAAAAAAAAAAAAAAATACGTCGTCGACCCGGTGAATCGAACACAGTATAAACATCGATAAACAATTTGAATCTATTTCTCTGTCTATAGATTTTTTTATTGATTGGTGTTTCCAACGTTTTGCAAATAATCTATACATATCATAGATATAATATATTATGTGTATAGATTAAAACAATATAATATATATTATGTATTATTATTATTTATTATGATCATACAATTTTTTATCATTATGCTTTTTTTAGTTTATTGAATGACAATTCACATTTTTAATTTCATATTCCGAAGTAGAATATTTTTCTAATTACTTCGATACATTGAAATTTAGTTTCCATAAACTAGTAGTTTGTTGATTATAACTTATTTTAACTTTTAACTTTAGATAAGCGAAAGAGCAGGGGCCACGAATTTGTAGGGTTTCATCTCAGCTTTAACTATTCATAGAGTTATCGATTAACTACTCGTTTGAAATTCAATTTTACATATCAAAAAATATTCTGCTTTGGAATATAAAATTAAAAATCCATATTGTTGTTATTTAAAAAATTTTAACGATAAAAGAATATTTTTTTTGAAACTATTATTTTCGAAATAAGATAACATTTAAGAAAAAAAACAATGAGTGCATACAATATTAACTGGTTCGTCATAATATTATCTATAATAATTATTCAATAAAATTGTAACAGTTCTAAAAATATTTAATGTTTAAAATTATCTGAATTAAGTAATTAGTTGACCACGAATTATGAGACATTTTTTTCATGAACAATTTCAATGATTGATATAGTTTATAAAATATAATATGTTATGACAATTTTATCTGTGTCTAAGTGGTTACAAAATATTTTTATAAGCCCATAATACTCACTTCAAAAACGGGTATTTACCAAAATAATCGATTTAAATCCAAACATAACTCAGTAGGTTAGATATACATTATCCGTGAAATTGTGATTTATATTTACCACCAACATTTTTTTACAATCGATTACACTTTTATGGTTTAGTGCCATATTATTAGTAAGTAGGTACACGTATGTTATGTTTATTCAATTAAAAAACACATTCGCCTAAAAAAAAAAAACTAAATATAGGGTACTTAACTAACAATGTTTTTTTTTTATAAATCAATTCAAACAACTAAGTTCACAGGAAAATCAGTAGTAAAAATAATATTTACTTATTACATTATTCAGCGTGTACCTAACTTACTTTTATGGCACACTGCGTTTATATTATTATGGACAATTCATTGGGTTCATTATGTTTATATTCGACATTCGTAAATGGCTTAACGTCTTTTTTTTCGTTAAAATACACAAATCAATTTTATATTACAATAAATTATTTTTGTTACGTAGGTAAGTACTAATTATTATATTATTGTGTGTCTTCAACTGAATCCGTTTATTTATTTATTTTTTAATTTTGACTTTTCCTCGATGAAGGCAACTATAACTATAACTATGTGTATAATACATTTTCGTCAAACATAATATTATTTATATATATGCTAATTGTTTCTAGATATGTTTCATCATTTAGTTATTGTAATGATGTTACGTGTGCAAATGTACCTACATTTAGTTTACAAGCATAAGTAACAATAACTGTGTGAATTACTTTAAACATGTTTCATGTTCCGTAATACTATATTTTAATCAAATAAACGTTTTGTCTTTTTATTTAGTTAGGTATATTGCCACTTAATTCGTTGTTTTTATTTGTTCAATTTTACTGATTAAAATACAATCCAATGATTAATCATCATAAATATGTTAACACTTATAAATACAGATAGGTGACTAGTGTTATTAAAATAACAATAATAATAATAATTAATATTATAATTCCAGGATCTTATCACCGTTGGTGAATTATATTCCTAACAGAAAGTTAAAGTCGTACATGTCAACATTGAAGGAAGTTTCAGACTATCGCTTAGAAAACATTTTCAGTAATCCTTCAACAGTAGAATGGTTTAAATGGTGCGATGAACGGTATCATTGTGATGACGAAGAAGAAGAAGACGCAGAAGAAGATACTGCTGACAGTTTGATTTAAATTATATTATATTTTTTTTTTCAATACAGGAGGTATCCACAGTTGTATTACAGATGAATGTTAAATTTTTAAAAACTAATATCAAAGAAATTATAATTACAATTTGTATGATACATCGATATATTTGTTTTTATTATTTGCTTATTTTAACTTTACTATATTATATTGTATTATGCAGAAATCAATATTGTTGTTCTGAAAATATGTTTGATATTTTCCACGCTTTAGTTTATTTTTTTCGCTCTGTGGTAATATTTAAATTCCTTTTATCGATTATAAAGTAAAACAATATATTATTTTTAAAAAATTGTATAATATTATATTTTACTTAGTATTTTTATTTGTATTTTATTATAATATTATTTATTATTAATTCATACTTACTTTTATTGTAATTTAATCTTAACGTTGAATCATATAAATGTAAGTTATAAAAATGTTATTATTATTATTTTTTATTTTTTAAATTTAAATTATTTATTTTATTATACTATACGCCTATTGGCTATTATTATTATTAATTAAATTTAAAACTATTTGTATTAAAAATATAGTATGTGGTATATTAATGGACAAAAACATAATTAATTTAAATGTCTCATATAATTTTGATACAAGTAAATATACAAAATACAAAAATATTGAAAAGTACTGAAAATACTAAAGAATTGTTAAGGGTATATATATATATTTTTATTGATTAGTATTGACCTCTATGAAATTGGCTTCAACACTTAGACACAGATATTCTAAAGTACAGCTAATATTTAGCAAACTAACATTAAAAAAATCGCATTATATAGGGTAATATTCTAAATACTCATTGCACGCTCAAAACAGGTAAATCGTAAATAAATAACACTAACACAAATAATTTTCTTACTTGTAATTTTGATTTTATTCACTCTAATAAAGTTGACTCTGCATAACGACAATTTGAATGTCACGCCTAATAGTACGCAAGACCCCTCGGGGTGTGACGTCCTAATAATTAAAACATGGTTAAATGATTAAGACGCTTGCGTATGGCCAAGTATATATTAGGGAGGAGGGTGCAATTAATGTACCTGGTTGCCCAGGGTGACAATTTTTTTTTTGACCATTTAGGGGACAGTCAACTTGTATTGACACATAATTGTTGTGTATTAATTGTATCAACAAAAAAAATGTACATATTGTATAATATCAGCTATTGTACTACTGTTATAATAGAATGTACCTTACTATGTAAAAACAATGATACAGCTCAAAAATGTATATAGCTTCCACCAATCTGTCGATAAATAATATTGATAATAATATTACAAATTATATAACTATCATAATATCTATAAATATATATGTTTGATGAAGTTGAGATAACGGTTACCGCGACTGTAACCACCTGACGGCACGGTAAGATTATGTACATAATTTAATTTCATAAAATAGGTACTTAAATGTTTGAAGTCTCCGAGAAAAATATTTTTCAATTACAACAAAATATTAAATGACTGAAAATGTAATTCTTGGTTTATAACATAGTCTACTCAATATTTTTAAATGGGTGTAATGACAACTTATGCGGAACCTTGTATTATGTCTTGTTCCACCTTTCTAACTGAGCATTATTTGTTTTTATCAATATTCATAGAAAAAAAAAACGAAGAAAAAATCCAAGTGTCAAGTTTTTGAATTGCTAAAAAAAAGTCAAAATTGAAAATATTTTGATAATGAAACTATATTATAGGTAGATACCGAAAGTGATAATACAAACACTTCTTAGAGCTTAGACAATTCAAGTAGCTACGGTTATTGGTTTTTGAATTACAAAATTGTCAAAAACTGAGTATGCATAAAAATTCAATTTTTCTTTAAAATAATTTATGTGTTCCAAAATTATTTAAAAATATACTAGGAATATTGTAATTCTGAAATCCCAAGAAACAACTAAATTCGATTATTTCCTACCAGCAACCACTCTTAATATCCTAACATGTTTACTACCTACTCTAAAGAGTAATTACAAACTTGTAATACTTTTTTAATAATCCCAACGACATGGTAAAATTAATATATGATTATTAAATACAAATAATCTAAAATAAATAGTTTTAGTGATACGTTTAAAAAAAAATATGCACAAAATATGGGGCTCAGAATAAATCGTTCCCTCGAAATATAATCTCTGTATAAAGTATTATATGTGTGTGATTTTAAATATTAAACTTCAAAGAATGATGGTCTTTGATATTATAACATAATGCAGAGATTTTCCTAATATATTTATCAAGATAAAAAGCCGTGAATAAAATATAGTATCACTTTTATTTTTTTTTAGATATTATTATAGTTAAACTGTACGATTTAAACGTGATCAAACAAAATCGTTATAATTATAAAATATTATATTTGTATAGGTATATATAGCACAAATAATTTATTTCTTCTCTTCTTCCTTGGTAAAAATTTCTTTTTCAGAATTATAGGATGAATTCCAGTTATTGGCAACAAAAAATCATTACAATGTGGTCAATCTAGCAAACTTATTAACTTACTGGCATTGGCTTTGCATAGCACAATGGGTTTTAATTTTAAACAAGGGTAAACCACGTTTGCTTTTAAGTAGATAGGTAGTAAAATCGCACTATAAAGGCTTTGCAAAGTATCTAGCCGTACAGTTATATACATATATAATCCATTATTAATTATTGTGATCGTCGTAGACTTAACGTTACACGTTTCAATCGCCATCAACTTGGCCAATATCGTCCTATTCGGCTTCCTGAGGAAAGCATCGTAATCTCGAAATTAATCATCAGTATTCCGAGGAAATTCGTGAAAATAGCATACCGGATGAAATATATTCAAAGGCCGTTGAGGCGTCTGACAATCAGTGGTCGTCTGTTGAATACCGCACTTGATGTCCAACGATGCCGCCATCAACCATAATTTACCGGCGATCACGAAAAATCGATGTTTACTCCACGTTCTACCGTAATTTATCACTCACAACAAGTTCTTTAGAACCGTCTATGGTGACAGAGGATATCGCAGACGACCTACGGTCAGAGAGTATTCGATGAACCATGTCAACAATGGAATGCCGAAATGAAGCAGGCACGAAAGAAATTCATTTTTTACTACGTGTTTAGAACTTTAGAAGAATTCTATTACATTAGTGATTTTACCATTTACGATTTATCATTGACTATATAGTCATGAAATAGTTTTATGGAGGACTATTTTGTTCCGAAAACACCTATTACGGTGATTGATTACTTTGATATTTCCGAAATAAGCTACAAGACCAATAACACACCTCTTGTCGATTAAAAATTATATGATATGATAAACTTAAACTGTACGTAGGTAATTCGATTTTCTAAAATTCTAATTATATAAAATTTTTAAGAAACATATTAAGACTTTATTTTTAATTTAAGATTTAATATTTTATTATTTTACGACTAAAAACAAATAAGTACCGAAAGGAATTATGAGTATCATAGTTTCGATCATATTATATTAATCATGTTTCAAAAAAAGGATGGGTCTCGAATAAGATAATTTTATTTTTTATTTGTCTAAACCATTCTACCATAATTTTAGTGCTAGATGGTAATATATGGTATCCAATTTGAAAAATTCATGCGATATTCGCTTTATCCTCCCCAATAGCTTGGTTATATATTATGTACCTACTAAGATTTAAGGTTCAGATAAATTAATATTTAATTTTAATTATTAATTTAAGGTTTTTAATATGGGTTTAAATTGCATGGTTATTACACAATTTAACCACTTGAAGCACCATTGAATACCACAATGATTACCACCGTGTCAGTCGTTCGTGGTGTGTGTGAGTTCTATATTTTATGCGAGAACATCCATTTCTTCCATACTGTAAAATATTAGGAAAATATAAATTCAAAAATATAAATATAAATATTGTTTTTACGTTGTGATAGGTACCTACAAGACGACCACCAATGACGGCTAAACTAAATATTATACATTTATGCAGACCGTTGAAATTCGAGTTTTAAAATTTTAATATTATATTATAGCTTTAACTTTTAAATAATTACAAAAATTATAATTCATCTAAATCAAAAAGTTGAAGCAAAAAATCGAATCGCATTGTATGCATATTTTTCTTGTAATTATGTCTAGTGGACACTGAGGCAGCGAAAAGTTACCACCTTTGCTATTCATGTGCTGCATACGAGCAGTATAAGTCGGAACTTCGGAATTTCGGAAGTAATAAAACAATACGAGTCACGTTACGAACTTTACTGGGGTCAGGTTTAAAATTAACTCGTCATTTATTATAATATGCGTACAATATATTATTATTATTATTAACATTAAAACAAACGACAATAGCACAATTCGCCGAATGGCTAAAATAAAATAGTTTTATTTAAAAAAAAACTTAATAATGTAGTACTATATAGTGAATTACAACTTGGCAGTCGGTACATCGTATATTAATATTATCTATATTTTCTACAATACGCGTGATCAACATCCAAACTTGGCATAGATGGTGATTTCTATTAACGCAGAATAATGCTCAGTCGTTCGGGCTATAATATATTATTATGTTAATTGTCATCATCCAAAGTAGTACCAATTACACAGTAATGCATTAATATGTATATGTTTGTCATTATGTCACGTCTACTCATCTTATGACGTATTCATTCTTTTCATTAAGTGAACATCCACTTCGTTTGATTATTTTTTTACACATTTGAATACCTATAATCATAGTATTATACGGCCCATATTATCCTGTATTAACTTTACAAGTGCTTGATCCATACGAATATAATATATTAAGGGTCATTGATAATAAACCTAATCTATTCGGCAGATTCATACTATAATAAGTAGTAAGTTAATAAGCCCATCTAACATAGGTACTGGGTTTGGTCGTTGTGCTGACTATACAATCAAATTAAAAAACTCATACATAAAGATAGTAATAATACATTTTAAAATAATTAGATTGAGAACGTTTGTTTTTGCGTTTTCCTATGGTTTTCAGGTTATACAAACACTAATAACTTACCGAAATATTAAAAAAAAGGATATTAATCATAGGGTATCTAACTAGTAACTA